GACCGCACTATCCCATTCGGTGAGTATCCGACGAAAGGTTAATCGAGCACGAGCAAACCACAACGTAGATTGCGCGGTGTGGTATTTGTGTGTCGACGGCTCATTGGCTTCGTTTCGTTGGACGTGGCATGCGACGGTGCCGCGAGGTGTGGGGGGGTGAAGTGCTGGACGAGCCCAGTGTCACGGGGTTTTTTGCCGGCCTGACTACGCACAACTGTTCTATAGCCGACACCACCAAGATCAACCAGCATAGCTACGCGTACCAGTTGTTGGGGCTGGACAATGTCTGACACTCGGCTCGTCCAGCATCGCACCAAACGACGCCCATCCCGTGCCAAGTCCAGCGACAAGACGCCAAGGATCCACCGTCACACGAATCCCACGCCGCGCAATCTGCCTAGGGGTTAGTTGTTCGTTCAGAAGCTCGTTCATTCGTTCGTCGGGGGCTTACCCAACGGAATTGTGCGGCCGTTCTTGGACCCACGTGGGTTCATCTGGATGAACCAGTGTGGCGCAGCAGGGAATCGAATTATTGTCACTTGTTCCTGCCTGTCACATGGTCGGCCCATTGATGCCTGAAGCCACGCAGAATGACTTTGCGCAGCACCACTGCCTGGATGTGAAACTGCCACCTATTTGATATTTGACCAATCATATCGTGCTATCACGCTATGTGCGTGATATGTTGACAAACGACAGGACGATCGCCCAATCGAAATCCTCTCACATCGGTCATCCAATCAAAACGAGACTTGATGTCGGTTACCCAATCCCCATCCAGAAATGTGTCGGTTCGATGTTGGATGCTACCTACATGTACACTTTTGGATGGAAGGTGTTGTGTTTAACGTAACGTAAAAAACCAATTTAGGATAACTTTGTATTGCCCAATCACACCTCGTTATTTGTTCAAGTCAAAACCTCTATCATATAATGCTAACCATTCCGTCACGTGAATGAAATGCAAAAACGGCGTAGAAGCCGTCGGTAACAGTCATTCAAGATTGGGTTTGAAGTTCCCTAGTCGACACGGGCTACATTCGGTTGGATCTGAGGTTTTGTCGAGAGTTAAACTCGGTGGACATCCATCCACAACAGAAATTTAACTCTATAAAACAGTACCCTTGTATAAATTATATGCAACCTGTTGTAACCGCTTACCCTAAACACAGAATTTCAATGCTCAAACACATACATAATTTAAGATAAAAAAAAGTTATCCTAAAGTATGTATGTGTACTCACATTTTGATAACCAATTTAAGATAAAAAAGTTATCCTAAATTGGTTATCAAAATATGAGTACAAATGCTTAGAAAGTAACAAATTTACCTGTGAACTTCATCGCCTAAACTGATGATTCGATTATGAACTGAAAGAGGCGCGTCTTGTCTATTGGAATCACTATTCAAAACTCAAATATCGTAACGGACTCAAAAGTTATGTCCATTCTACTCCGACGCCTCCAAAAAAGTTATCTTAAATTGGTTTTTTACGTTACAGTGAAGTTACCAAGATGTAATGCTCGCAGGGGTTGTTGACACTATGTACCGTAAATCGCACGCTCGTCACACAAGTCGTCGCTAATGTAAGGTGCATTCAAAATGGCCAATGGACGTGCTTGATTTTTGGAATATTGCCAATCGAATCACTAGAAAAATGAAATCACCAAAATATAAGCAACAACAGCATACATATTTTAAGCTTATTGTTAATCCGTGCACCATAAACTGATCCTTCCTTTTTGCCTAAACTTGGGTGGAAATCGAAGTAAATGAACGCTTAGCTGAAGTCTATTCAAGCCGATTTAATACACAGAAGAATGCCCAACCTTTCGGCTTCATGCAGCACTTTTCAGAATTGAAATCGCAGTCCTGAGAGACGTGTAAACTTCATTTTACGACGAGGTCTCTTCAAGTGCACCATGAATTGGCCATCTACGTTAGCAACCAACTAACGTTAGAGTTCGATCAATCGACGTTTCGAATCAACTAATCAAATGAGGGGTGAGATCGTCCATCGACCAATGGCATCACGAGGATCTCCCAGGTAACAACATTGTTCAAATGTACGCTACCATCGATGCGGATGAGCTCAAGGTCCGCACAGGCATGTTGTACAAGAAGGGAAAACGCGGACTCGTGTTCGGTCGAGCCAACTGGAAGCCTCGGTTCTTTGTGTTAACTTCGAAGGCATTGCGGTACTATGCGTCTGCGACGGGGTCGTTGAAGGGCGTGGTGGATTTGACAGCGTGCGGCCCCCACGACATCCAAGCGATGCCGCAGGACTGCCCCAAGACGGGCACATCGAGCGCTTCCATTTGGCGTATAGCCATCCAAACCCCCACGAGGCGCTTCTTTCTGGCCGCCCAGACGTCCCATGACATGGACGCGTGGGTGCACGATCTGGTTGAAGTCACAACGCATGGTCTCGGCTGCCGTGTTGAAGAAGTCGAACACGACATAACAGTACGACGGCGACACGCGATGCGGTGAGCGCGGTGTTAGCACACCAACTCCACAATGTGCATCTTCGAGTCAAGTCACCTGTGGTGGCCTTCGATGCACGTGCAGTACATGAATGAATCAGAAGTGTAAACATTGAAATTCTAGTCGTGATACTTGGGCAATCTCCGATCGCGCACACTCTTCCTAACGTTACGTAGTATGTGAAAAGTCCAAGTTAATGTATCTAAAGTGCACCTGTCACAAATTGCTGTTCAAACGCAGATGCACTATTGTTTACAATAGTGTCACCCTCGTAGTATGTTGGCACCAACTCATCCAGTACTAGTATTTCTAGTATTTACACAGATGAACAACGACGAGTGCAATTCGACCGAGCACATCAATGTATAAAATGTATATAACTTTGAGAAGGAGAACAGTGAGGATTTCCGAATATGATAAGTAAAACAGTGTGGATCCAATATACGTTTATGCCCGTCTGTTAGTTTTGTCGACATGGACAACAATTGATAGCTATTTCTGTTAGTGAGTTGACGTGTTTCTACCCACTCGGACTATTTTCTAGCTCGTTTTTGTCGTTGAAACTCGACGTCCATGCGCGTGGCTCGCTTGACCATACCAATGGACTCGTACAGTCTCTCCGGGCCCAGTTCGCCTTGAAACAACGCGACTTCTTCCAGATCTGGCCACTTGTTGAATGCATCCAAGAGCCCGTGCACGAGTACGCTCTTGGCGTATCGATTGCGGCGGTACTCTACGCGCGTGTTGACACGGGGAATGAACGCGATGCAAGGGTCCTTCTCGTCCCGGACCAACATGAACCGAGAGACGGCTACCTCCGCGTCCTCCCAGCACAAGTACGTTCGACTGACAGAAGCGGGGCGACCGAGCAGTTCGCGGCACTTTTCAGTGCGCCAACCCAAGCTTTCTTGGCTGCCTGGTTCGTTGTCAATCGTGGCCTGCAGATCTTGCAGCGATGCAAACGTCACCACATGCTGTTTGCATGTCGCCGCCAGCGATTGCAGCAGGGGGAGCTGGCTCCGATGGAACGTCATGCAGTGGGATGCGTCGTCGTCGTTGTGGCCACTCGTGGCTTCGTACCCCAAGGTTCCCAGCACAACCTCCCAGTGGCGAAACAGACGATGCGACGGACTGGTGGGATTGGGGTCGATTGTCATGTAGAACGGCGTGCGCGGATTGTTGCTGAACAAGGCGTTCAATTTGGCCTGGGCGTGCGTGGCTGCAGCTTCCATCTCGGCCAAACTCACGTCGGTGGCCTCGGGGTGCTCCAAGTCAATGTATAAGCAGTTGCCAATATCCCAGTACGGGTAATTGGGCGACGTGAACAGCGTGCCGACCTTTGGGACGGGCTCGCATGTCTTGGCTCGGTACGAGTTTTCAATCGTTTCGAGGATAAAGAACCATCGAGGGGTGTAGTGTGTAGGTGGCGGCGAAGGAGTGACGGTGTCAGCTGCAATTGTCATGGTGAATGGACACAATTGGAATGTGATGTTATGGAGTTGGGCAATAATTTTTGAGTGATCAAAAACGAACGTGCCGCGAATGTGCTGTTGGCAAAGCGAGAGTGATGGTGTTTTCGGACTTTCAACGTGTATGGGTGGGTTTTGACCTTACACTACGTTTACTTACATGAGTGGACCGACCGCTACATATGATATATTAAACGTTTCTGGCTAACATTATTGTAACAAAAGTTATGCTCAAAGGCACCCTCGAAGCTGTCGGGCACTGTTAAGGTATTAATACTGGTAATAAATGCTAGTACAGTAGTACTGTATTAACACTCTATTAATAGAGTTACTACACGCAGTACGTAAGTTACTAGTAGTATTATTATTGTGGTTTTCATGTAGTTTGCCCGTTGTTAAACTGCGTTAGCTGTAAATTCAATTGATTTTTCGGCAAATTCGAAATCTAGTGTATGCATTTAAAGAGGTTTATTAACTTCACTCAGTTTACTAGTACTGTACTATTAATACTGTAGTATTAATACTGTAGTATTATTAATAATACTATTAATAGTACATGTTAAACGAAATCAATATGCAGCTTACAAAACACACATTTGTTCCCTCCACTCGCTCCAGTCTTGGGGCGTGGGTTCAAATCCCACTCATATCATTCTTTTCTACTTTCCTGCTACTAGTATCACAGGAGATAGGCGTAGGTGATAGGCGTGACCCGCGACCATTGTTCCTACGGAGATAGGAGCCAATAACCTATTTAACGCATGTTGTAATTGTGTTCATTGACTGTGAAGCAGTGTTAACGGATTCTGCCCTCTGGTAACTGTAAATCCTGCTTTTACTGTATCCTGTTGTTATGATAGTACTACTTACCTCTGTTTTCGAACTATTGCGAGCGGAAATTCAACCACATTGTAAAATCAAGTGTACAGAATCTAAATTTAATTAATTTCATCGTCTGAGCTGAGGTCTGAAATGACAGTCAGGTTGCTCAACAGAACTGCCACCTCTTCTAACCTTCCTTCTTCCTCAAGTCTCAAGTTCATCATGCCTAACACTAACTCGTCCTCTTGAGTCTCTTTGCTACGAGGAATTTTATATCTATTGTCACCATCGCATGCAATAACAACATTCATGACACGTCGTAATGTCAAAAGGTTTTGTCCAGTGTCATGGGCGAGAATAACTCAAACGAATCTTTCACAGCAACAATCAACTCCCCCATCGTCTGACACTCGAGGGATTGCTGAAGTGCCTGAATAGAGTTAAAGAAGCCTAGGTCGAGAACATTTAGGTCAGGCGATTGTGGTGGTTGGTTTCGCATCTGAATGTCCCAACCTCCATCTGACGCTGCACTGACAAACGCTGGGTCTTCTGGTGCAATGTGCGGACGCGCATTGTCTTGTTGCAAGAACACTGTTGCCGTTTCAACGCCGCTTGGCCAGCGCCAACTTGATTTCAACGCGGGCAGCACTTTGCGCACAATCAGGTCGCGGTAAACGTCTACAGCGAAACCCTCATCTCATCAGTCAAATTTGACTTGGTTATAGCGAAACCCTCATCTCATCAGTCAAATTTGACTTGGTTTTTGTATTGGATTTTGTCATGGCGCTTGGACTCCAAATTTGAATATATAATTCACATAAAAACACTCGTAGATGCGTCAAAGCGCAAGGAACACGCTCCACTAATTTATCTGCCAATCCGAGATCTGGAAGTTACCCAACTGTTTCTGCTCGCAATAGTTCGAAAACAGAGGTAGTACGTGGAATCAAACGTTAAAACATCTACGAATGAATCCATTGAATTTGTCTCGAAAACCTGCCTTCGCAGACTACTACTGTATGCTTCCAATGTTGTCTCAAATTTCATGACAAAATTCACTTGCTTGGGGTATGTGATGACTTTTGAGACTCACTGAATACTACAGTAGTACATTTCGTACATTGTAGCCGTGACTTGTGTGGAATGACGATTGCTTCGAAATGAAAAGCCAGTAGATTGCCTGATAACGGTATCAGAGTATGGCCCGAAACACTCTTGATGCGGAACAATATTTACTGTTAATTTTCATATAAACTCTAATGAACACCGTTCACATCGACAATAGAATTACGAGTCCCACTGTTTCGATGGTATCGTTATGTATTCGCAGTCAAGACTGTCATCTACAGTGTACTGATATTATCAAAATACTGTACACAATTTTGACTTTGACCAGCAATAATTTGGTAATGCATATATCGAATCCTTCAAAGCTTTCACGTGTGATGTCCAGTAGCGCGTTCAACGTATATCGCTATAACATTACTAGTAGTTGAAAGTTCGTCCAAAACATCGTCCTATTTGTCGAAAATCGAGAAAAAGCTAACAGGTCCATTTTCAGGCCATCTATTGATCGTTTACGTTAACACTATGTTATGTGAATTAATTGATTTTGATTCACGCAGCATGTTCCGTTGTTCGAGAGGCACATCCATCGTCTGGTGGTGGTCGTTCAGTGCTCGGTTGTTTGCGATGTCCTGAAGGTCTTGGAACCAGCGATTCATTTCGTCTGGGGAAGTCATTGCAATGAAATGTCGGCGGGTGGGGGTTTGAATCGCAATGCGCCAAATGGAGGACGCTGAATGGCCAGTTTTTGGACAGTCGTGTGGCATTTGTTCGATGTCTGTGGGGCTGCAATGAGCCAAATCCACGGTGTGTTCTAGCACGCTTTGGCTCGGATTCGTGTAGTACGTGATCGAAGTGCTCGTCAAGACAGCGTACCGGGGCTTCCACTTGCCTCGCCCAAACACAGTCGGTTCGCCTTTTCTGAAGAGCATGGCACTGCGCCACACGATTTTGTCGTCGTTGGTGGCGACGGGGGCGATCGTCGCTGATAGAGGGGATGAATGAGGGGTCATGTTGACGTGGAAATGTGAAATTGAGAAATGAAGTACTGTACTATACAGTACTAACGTTAGTACTACAGTAGTATGTCAAATCGAACATGGGTGAATATGATCACTTTGCGGACATTTATCAGTCGGACATACTTGACATTTGTAATGGACTTAAGGGAAACATATTTTGTCCGAATGTATAATTTTGTGCAGGCGGTGCCTTGGCGAGGAGTGAGCCCCAATCGTGCACTTCACCGAATGACCAATCGATTCCTCTTGTCAGGAAAGGCAGCAGGCCGTGCCGCTACCCGGGCAAGGCCTGTGGTACACCTATTCGTGGTACACCTATTCGCATTTAGTACGTAAGTCCATTTAAGTGCGTGTCCGAAGCAAATACCACACAAATATTTGTCCACGATGTGTACCACCCACATGCGTCGAAATATAATTATTTCGAATATTAATAGTAGTTGCAGAATTATCTGATTGGGCAGTACTGTGAGACAAAATTGAACTGTCCAATGTTTGATTTGGATACATTTTGATGTTCGAAATCAAAGTCAAGCGCTGAATTTCCCACAGCTCAAAAGTCGGAGGATGATATAAATTCATCCGGATATTGGTCGAAGTGCGCCACCATCCATCGATTTATAAATATGGACTCCCCGTCACTTCCATTGAGATAAGTGGAATGCCTTGCAGTTTACTACGAAGTATGGCACTGCTTATGGGCGTGTATCTCACTATAACAGAGGTAAAACTCACATCGTACGGTATCCGTACTGCCGTGTCCAACCCCCCCCCCGACAATGGCATTGTCGCTTCCCCTTCCTGATTTCACAACTTTGCCACAACTGAAAATGATGGTTTTCTCTTTTGAGTTGGAGATAAGTCATCTCAAAAGTGAAACCAGAGGTTGATTATTCCACTGCATTATTGTTCACTTGGCGACCGCGGCTCATCCGGCCATTGTTGTGAAAGGTACTGTACTTGTGCGAAGGCTAAGAAGCAGTCAGTGCTTAACGTTAGGCTCAGCTGTAATAATACTAGCATTAACTATAATTCAAATAAAGCACCTCGACGACGTCAGACGGAGGTGATGCCAAGTTGGCCGCCACCTACAATTCAAACACGTCAGAATTTGTCGTTGACGAGGGCAAGGCAGTAGTTCTGTATTGCACAATGCGAATTAGGTCGTGGAACCATTGGTTCATTTCGCTGGGGGTATTCGCTGCCATGACGAAGCGTCGCGCGGGAGTGCGAATCGCGATACGCCACACACTCGACGGCGACCGCCTCGTCTTGACGCAGTCTCGGGGCATGGCCTGGATGTCCTTGGTCGTGCACTGGGTCAGATCAATCGTGCCCTTGAGCTTCCCCCCCTTGTCGGTGTAGTACAAGATGGCGTCGGGGGTGAGTTCGATGTACCGGCGCTTCCAGTTGGCGCGGCCGAGCAGCGCAGTCTTTTGCCCCTTCTTGTAGAGCATGCCACATCGCAGGGGGGGTGGGGGATCGTGGTGATGGCGGTCACTGGCCATGATATGTTTCAGAGTCGATAGATTTCCTTGTGCAGCTGCTGCTGCCCACGCAATCTTCGAGTTTACGACCGTAGAAACCTCAGAGTCCTTGCTTCGACGGACACTACGCCCCTTTTATACAGCATGCTCCAATCCTCCTTTACGTCATAATGTCGTGCGTGCTTAACCAAGCACGTCGTCATTGTTACTGGTCCGGGAATGAATCTATCGTGGAATGTATGTATACCGGCATACTCGGGGTTTTTCGGGACATGAGGGGGGGGGGGTACAGTAGTTTGGTCAATTTAAATGTTGTCATCTCGATATGCATATCCGATTTGACATGGCAATTCCCAAAGTGTCGACTTATGCCTCTGGTACTTCGGTGAAGTTGATTTATCGTATGCTATGCAGCTTGTATTCACGCGTGCGTAAGTTATTCAGCCCTATCCAACGTGCACTGAATGCACACTATATTGCGAGTCGTCATCGTCACAGGAGAGTGGGTAGCTCATAACTTGGTGATGCCATGGACAGCCGCGTCAGGGTTGTTCAACACGAGCACGTTGAGCAAGTCGTTGTAAAAGTCCTTGAAGTATTTGCACGCTCGAGTGCAATCCGGGTGAAAGTTGGTCTACACAAAACACAACATTGCTATCTCAACGCAATCCCCACTTCAAAGCATACTCTCCTACCTCCAAAATCACAGGATGGATCTTGCCGTCGTCCGTCCATTCCAGCATCACGTCCACGCCGTACAGCGCGCGCGACTTCTTCGACTTACCCAAGCCTACACAACCATAGAGGAAGGATAAACACACAAACGAAAGCAACCCAAGCGAGGCTTGGCTTGCTATGTATACCAAGCGGCGGTGGGCTGGCGGTGGCCGCCTCAAATAGCGACCGAATCGACTTGAAAATATCCGCTTTCACCGCGTCCCAGTCCTCCAACGGGTACTCCAGCTTGAATTGGGCTTCAAATTCTGCGACACTGATGATTTCCACGCCGAAGTCGGTGTAGTTCATGACTGTGAAATGCGTCTGGAAGTCGTCGAACCGGTCCATCGTGAACGGATTGTTGGCAATGCGGAGCCAGTACACGCCACTCACGTACAAAGTCAGCGGCTCCGTGTCCACCAACATGACTACACAATCGCTTAGGAATGAATCCCATCATAGTATTAAAATTGTTGCGTCACCAACGCAAGAAAGCATGATATTGTGGATTTGGTACAAATTTCCAGACTCCGTCGAATCGATCACAAATCGACGCTATTGGCTCATCCAACTTTGATTTTTGATTGGCTCTGAAGGGCAAGTATTTTCAACCAATCAAAACGCCAGTGTGATTCAACTTGGATTCGAAAAACGCGAATTTTGCAAGTGTATAGCGAAATACATAGTTTGACGTTTGTACGTAAATCAACAAGAAGAAAACATCCCTTTTTCAGAGTCATCAACAAACATATCATGGAGCCCATAGTGTTTTGGTTTATATATATATGTAATATATATACATACCCAAGAAGCGGAAATCAAACTTGCGCTGCTTGATCAAAAATGGCTTGGTGATGTACTTGCACGCGACCTTGGGCCCAGTTTGCGCCAGTTTGGCCAACTGCGCCGACGTCGTAGCAATTTCCGTGTCTATATTTCATCAAATCAATGTTTCCAGCATTTTCGACAAGCAAAATCAGAATTTTCTAGCGTACCCAACGACCGCGCCAGGTTCCACGGCTTGCAAATCCACACGTTGTCCAAACCAGCTTGGTCGCGACGAATGTACTCTTGCATGAGTTCTGGAAACTCGGTCTCCATGTTAAACGTCAGCGCCATGTACGGTGGTTGCTGGTTGTTGTTGGCGCTACCGAGAACACTCGATTTACGCCTGTACGACTACTACTAGTACTAGTATTACTAGGCACACACAAACACACAATGCAATATTGTCAAGTTGATTATTCGAACTTGGAGAGTTTGGGTGCTCAATCGATGATAACCAAATCAGCAGACAATCGATTATGACCAATCAAATCCCAAATCACGAATCCAGTGGCCAATCAAATCATCCACTCTTCGACCAATATTCAACATCGAATTAGTGTGTGGTGACTGAAATTAGCGTGATACTGGACGACATACAAAAGTCAGGACAAACCAAATCTATAGCAAAAAATCAGCCCAAAAAGTCCAAATTTTGGGTAAAAGAAAGACAACAATGAAATTGAACGTACCGACGACAGGTCTCGTACAGCAAATCTTTGCAGGTCAAGATCTTTTCGTTGGGGAACTGATTGAACACGTGGACATTTGGGTTGTTATACAAGGCCACGTAGTCCTTGATGTGCCGCGTAGGCCACACGACATGCGCCTCCGCTTCGTTGTCGGTAAATTCAAAGCGGGGGTCGGTTAAATGTTCGAACATCAACTTTAAATCTACCAACACTCACTGTCAGTGAGATAGTATCCTTTGGAGAAGTGCATGTGGATAGCTAAATACAGCCACACGTTGTCGTTCTAATATTTTTGCCAGTTTTGGAGATTGTTGAAATTGCACCAACAACAACAAAAATCGATCAAAGTAGTATGATTGGCTAAAAAGAATGAAGCTTGCAACGTGATTGGCTCAAACCATTGAATGTCGTGATGCCATCCTCTTAACCTTTTTGTTTTTATATGAGATTTCGCAGGTCCGCTTGGCACCGTACCATATATATACACCAACACTACGACCAAGTCGACACCCCATCTCTTGATGTACGTACATACAAACACATGTAACTAGCTAGTCAGCTACATAGCTAGCACAACACTCTTTGTTCTAGTCGAACCAACTTGTTAGCTAGCTAATACACATCTCAACATCACGCTCTCTGTTTCTACACCAAATCAAACCTAACATGCACGTACCAGTCCAGATCTTGATGGGCGTCGGCAGTTCGTTCGTGTTGGACGCCGTCTCGGTAGGGACAGATTCGTTGTCGCGGTTAAACTGGGTTTCGTTGTGGAGGTGGCTATCCGAGTGATGGAGGCGACGGCGGGCGACAATCTCGGCCAACTCACTTGAGTACGCTTGTCCGTCGGGGTAAAACAAGGCACTGCAGAGGGCCGTGAGCGTGTCGTCGTCTCGTGCTGCCACGTAATTCAACGTTGCAAAGTCATGCGCTTCCACTCGATCCGTGGGCCACAACAGCGAAAACGCACACTGAGCATTCGCATAATAGAACGGCGCCATGCGAAACGTCGGGTCGTCGCTGTGCTCGATGGCCGACCCGAATTCGTCCATCACGTACCTATGACGTCATCGTTTGTTTGTAAGCAGGATGGAAGGAGGATGATATGGGGGTACCAAATGGTCGCCGCCTCTTCGGGCTTGAGGTGGCCCAGCCGGTACGAGTTGACAAACTTCCACATAGTTTGCAGCACGACGTGGATGCGCGCGTCGATATCGGCGGCGTCCGCGACCGCGATATGCATGAGGTTTTCCATGCGGCCCAGCAATGACGGCACGTTGGTCAGCATGTCGCGGGGCTTGTTGTTGTCGGTGGTGAACGTCCACGCGTGATCAATGAGAAAAATCGCGTTGGGATCATCCGACGGATCGATGTCTTGCAGCACCACCGCGTGCAAGTCGCCGTCTTCGTCTTTGGCCAACTGGAAGTACGACCCCGCGTCGAACACTTCGCGGCTACAAGTAAGGGGTGAGGTGACGAGCGAGTGACATGGACGGTGTGCGATGGCCTCTACCTCAGCTTGGCGTGCAAAGATGGCCAGAGGTGGACTGGCACGGCAATGGCCTGCAATTGCGCTTCATGCAATGCCAAAAAGGCGGCGTAGTCGTCGGTCGTCGTCGGAGCGGCAGCAGCCATAGTTCAAGATTCAATGGCAGTTTGGTGTGGGACGACATGGGGCTTTATCCGGACACCGGATAAGAATTTGACTGGATTTGGCACGCACACCCCATGACGTGGCACGATGGTCCTCGACGGACGCGAACAGGTAATGAGACTGTGAAAAGCAGCAATGTCAAGTGAGACCATGCAGAAGTTATACGTGAACTGGCCGAGAAGTATTGAGCAATACAATATGTATGGGGATACTATACATACATGTATTGTCCACCCAGCTACTATCATCGAGTCAAGCACACAAGCTACAATACTGTACCAACCAAGTAACGGTAAATCCTCAAGAGATCCCATCCCTGTTCATTGCAACGTACTACCTAGTATTGATGCCTTCACTACTGAAGCATGCAAACCAACCTACTCGTTGTGGTTGATGGGACCTGCTTGGTGTGTCAGGTTGTGGGTCATGCATTTCAGTCATATTATATTCGAATCTCTCCGTTTGAGATAATTTGACGGCATTTTTGCACGTGGAGGGACGACGGACGTAACTCGGGCTGTAATGTTAACGAAGCTTCTTGTCCCAGCTTTGAACGCACCTGCAGTAAGCATGAGAGCAACCAAGGAGGATTGACAGGCCTAGCTAGTGCTTAGCATGGCAGAGGCATATGAAGACCAGGAAGGTAGTCGCTGGTCATGGTGCTGGCAGCAACGTCAGACATTTCATATATGCACCGCGTGGATGTCCACCGGCTTAATTGCATATTTTAGGCATGTCAACGACCCCATACTCAACAAATCACCAAAGAACATGACACCGTCAAGGTGGTAGATATGGACATTTGAAACAATTCGGCAGCGTATAGAAAGCGACAGCTGGAACGAATATGTCACCAATGTGCCAGGATTGAGAATATCATTGATTAATATAATTAGTATAATGTTGCTTGGGTTTTCAAACTCTTTCCTGCCACATGTCCACGTGGCGAATAAAATACAATCAAAACACACGCCGTGAAACCGCCACAATTTAATTCGTGGTTGTGAATTCAAACTTGCCGTTTGTATACTTATTCTCGCTGAGGAATATTATTTTCCAGGCTTTTTTCCGATGCCCTTGCACCGCCCGGTCCATTTTGAAAGCATGACCGTGTCTGCGACGACCGGCGCCACCGCGGCAGGTCCAGCCTCCCGAGGCTCCGGACCTGGGACTGCCGCCGACGGCAACCCCTCCGCGAACGGTGCATCGACAACAGCATCGTTGTCTTTGTTGTCTGCCTCGAATGGACCTGTACAAACAACTCCGGCCGGGGTCCTCAAGTATGGCCAAACTTTGCGGTTGCTTGCCAACAGCCATTACCACCCGACGTCGTCTGAGGTGGAAATTGGCATTGGCGTGTACAAGAAGAAGGGGAAGCATGGGATTTTGAATGCCGTGCCGCCCCTCGGGGACCAGCAGGAGCACTTGTTCCAAGAAGACGAGTACCGCGTGCTCGACCCGAGCGGCCAGCACACGGAAGGCTCGGCAGTCCAGTTCGGCCACACATTGGTGCTTGTGAACCAGGACAACCTCGTGTGGAACAATAAAACTGGCGGCATCACCGGGTACGTCGGTCCCCGCGCCCGCCAAACCAACGGAGAGATGTACGTGAGCTTCCACCCCAACCCCAAGCTGCCCCAGCCCAAGTCGCTGTTCATTCGGTACGGCGACGAAATCGTCATCGACGTCGAAGACGCCAACCGCCACGTCCGCACGTACAACAAGCGCCTGACCAACTTCAAAAAGCCAACGTCGTCCATTCTCGGCGGCTACATTTGCTGCGACGGCAAAGGTACTAGCTTGTTACTCAACTCCACGTCAATCTCAACCATTCGAGGCATTTGGGCACTATTTGTCTTCAACCACGACCTTGTTTACAATGCCAGATGATCATGATGGGGGCTGTGGTCACCGCCGTTCATATTGCAGGGTCTATGATGTTTTCATACTTACGACTTGTTTATTCTATATTGTAGTTGTTGCGAGTTTCTCTAATCTGAACCCATTCGCGGTGGTTATCTCTCCTTTTATGGCTGTGTGATATCATATATTGCATGTATTGTCGTAAAGTTTGGCCTTTCCCACACTATGTGACGTCACCATACTGCTCGTTCGTGATGCATTTTGCACGCATTTGATTGGCTTCTTGAAGCGTGATCTGGATTTTGATTGGTCAGTCCAGTTGATTTTCTCCTCATATCGACCATCGACAACAAACATACCCCGAGTCTCCCGAGTGGGATCTCGCTTTGAGGCTATATCTTCATATATATATTGTGCTTTCGAGTGAAATTTCGTGTGGTGGCGTGGTTTCTCATTGGAATTTAAATCGATTTGATTGGCTACCTCAGATGAGCTCATAATTATTAACCAATCAAAACCTTCTCAACGCAATTCAACCAATCAGATCGATTGTGGATCGGTTTGGTCGGCGCGATTCAATTGCACCCCCTCCCCAAATTTGTATCAAATCGACAATATACATATATATCTTCATACTCGTTAGTATATATATATATCTTCATATACATATATGTATACATATAATGTGGCTGTTGGTTCTTGGTGGCTCATATGAGAGTCTTCGTTTCTCGTGTAGGGCACGACCTCTTGTGTGCCATCATGCCGCCGCGCCTGCAGATCCACAAGGTGTTTGTACGCGGCAAGACACTGACGAGCTACCAGTTTGGTCAGCCCATTGACATCACGAGCGAGTCGGCGACGGTGGAGGTGCAGTTCACGCATGACAAGAAGGTGCTGCTCTCTGTCGACAAGCTCAACGACATGGCCGCATCCGGCAGGACCAAGCACTTCGTCCCGCTGGCGGACGGCGGCCCCGGCGGCGTTCACTTGACGCTCCACGTCACGACCGCTAGTTCCACCAGGTCGCCCGATGCGACCAGCGCCCCGGCATCCACGTCGATGATCCAACAACTCACGGCCAAGTTGCGCGGGGCCCCGGTGCACCAAGTGTCGATTTTGGTTGTCGTGTCGTCCGTGGTACGATGTATATATATATACCTGACACATTCGAATGAATGTAGTAGTAGTTGTAAACTATGTATCCTTTTTGGGGTTTGAGGTGGCAGGATGACCTGCACATCATGTATTTTTAGCCAATCATAAGACAACCTTCATTCGTTTTAGCCAATCATAAGACAATCTTGATTCGTTTTAGCCAATCATACTGTTTTATTGTTTTGTTGTTGATTTAACAATATTGCCCTTGACATATTTGAGTGAAATGTACAATATGTAGATGTAAGTAGAGTTCACGTCCCTCCAAGACTACTTTCTACGATATCATTTTGGATATATATATATGTTATGAATATACATAAAATATAAGGCGTCTTTAGTCGCTTTCCAATACCTTGTGGTGGGTTGTTTATGCGTTCACATTACTATGCCAATCCCTAGTTGGTCAGTCAAGTATATATATAAATGAATACTTGGTGATCGTTTCATGACATGTCGGACATTAGATTTTGGCGCTGTTGAAACGGTCGGGGCTCGTACATCAGTGGATTGCAGTGGGTCTCGCGGCATGCATTTGGGTTCCGGCCATGCTGCTGCTCCTCGCGGGGGATCCTCCATCGGCCACCACGCAACTCCAGCCAAAGCAGCAACCGTTCGTCCAGAACGGCGGCAGGACACTCACGTTGCTCCAGTATGTGTACCATGCAGACGCGCCATTTCCGGACGGCCACGACCACCACGAGCCCGAAGTGCCGCCCGTGCCAGACCGCTACCTCCGCGCGACCAAAGGCGATGCCGCCGCTGCGTTGGGTAGGACTTATGTTCGAATGTAGAAGAAACAAATATTTATTTTTCATTATATTTGACATATTTTTTAACGTTTTTTAGTATGTCGTGTTGAAAAAAAGGATAACTTTTTCGTTGTTTCTCATTCGTTTAACGTGGCAATGTTTGATCTGGACGGAAATATGCCGTGGATATGGATAGTTGGACGATGATTTATATATATATATATATATATATATATATTTACAACAGTAGGTGTCGTTGATGGTATCTATCATCTAGTGCGTGGCTAGTGGACATCCGAAACATTTGTATCAATAGTTATTGTGTAGAATGCTGTTATATTCACGTACTACGTCAAACCCTAAGCTCCTTCTCTACCACTTTGTATCTAGTCCGATGGAAGGAGACGTTGCTGTGGCGCAAGGAAGAGCATGTCGATAGCATCTTGACCGAGCCGATGCCCCATTTCCGCACGATCAAAGCCAACTACCCGCACTATTACCATAAGCGCGGACTCAAGAACGAACCCGTGTACTATGAGAAACCAGGCAAAATCAACTTGAAAAAGATGCGCACCGAAGGCATCACGCTGGACCACTTGCTGCGCAACTCGAAGATGGTGACCGAGTTTTTGTGGTCGGTGCTTGAAAAAGACGACAATCAAAAGTGCATTTCGGTCATCGACGTCGACGGCATTGGGTTTTCCGATTTTGGTGGCGAGGTCGTCGACTATGTCCGCCGCTGCTCGGGGTATACCAGTACGTCCGTATCTGACTATATATATATATATTTGTAGATTCATGTCAAAGGATCAAAAACTAGGATCAAAGGATATGATTTTTTGGCTGATGTTGATTCAGAAAACAAATATTGGTTGGAGCCATTGTTTTACATTTCTATAGGCCTGTAGTCGTCTCATCGTATGTATATATATATATATTATATTTGTAGAGTCAAAGGATCAAAAACTAGGATCGAAGGATGTAATTTTTTGCTGATCTATGCTGATTCAGAAAACAAATATTGGTTGGTGCCATGTTTACGAGCGTATTGTTTTTACATTTCTATAGGCACTGTAGTCGTCCCATCGTATATATACATATGTACACACCATATATATATATACATATGTACAGTATATATATATATATATATATATATATATATATATACTATATATGCCGCCAACCTTCAGTTGGGGTGAAGTCGGTACCTATTTGATTGTGTAAATTTGTATGGAATAGTAGTTCTGTTTATAAAAAAGAAACCGAAACCAGCCGTTCTTCTTCTTTGTCGATGTTTTATTATTTTATTACGTTATTCAACTTTTTGATTTGATTTTTTGTGCCCGAAATGTTCAACGTATAATAATATAACGATCTACACTATGTTTATTAATTATTCGAGTCTAGACGACTGCTGATACTAGGTATATAAAAAATATATTTTCTAGGCAGCCATTACCCCGAGCGGTGCGCGTACATAATCATCATCAACGTGCCGGGGTGGTTCAACATGATTTGGAAGGTGATTTACGGCATGATTGACGAAACCACGCGCGAAAAGATCTCAATCGTGCGCGGCAAGGACAAGATCTACGAGGCTTTGGCCCGCCGCATCGACCACGACAACATCCCGGCGGAATTTGGCGGCGGATCCAAGGGGTCGACAGTGGAGGAAGACATTTTGTTTCAGCTCCAGGATTTTAACAACCAGGTGGAGGGCGTTGCGAATCCCCTCGTGGGGGACCTCACGCCTCGTCCGTATGTGTTGCCGAGAGACGGGGGCGCTGGCAAGGAAGTGGTATAAGAAAAGGGAAAGGCACGAGCAGCCAGTGTTAAGAGAACAACAACCCATGTGTACATAATATATGCAGCATATACGTGTGTCTACTTTATATAGAGTACACAAGCTAAGAATGTATATATATATTGGAGATTCGGTATGAATTTCTGGACCCCGTTTAATCGAATCTCGCCGAGCGAATCGAGCACCAATCTCTCCCATTGGTCAATCCGAAATTACTTGTCGCTGATTGGCTACAATCTATTTTCGAGTGAAAGGGCGAAGTGGATAATGGCCAATCAGATGTCTCGGCTCTATTTGTGCTCGATTGAACGAACCATGCAAAATTGGGAAATTTGAAGAAAATCGACAATATATATATGCAGGGATGTATTGTGGATTCGATACGAATTTCCAGACCCCGTCGAATCGAATCTCGCCGCCGAATCGAATCACGAATCGACGCTATTGGCTAATCCATTTTTGAGTGGATTTGATTGGCTCTTACAGAAAGACAAGTATATTCAACCAATCAGAACTCCGGCGTGATTCAATACTGAATAGACAAGTTTATAGTGAATTCACAATACATTTCAAGCCTGAACATGGGCATCCAACGACATAAACTACCAGTGGAAGAACGTGCCCACCACTTTGATATGTCATCGTTCCTTCCATTGCCGCTTTACTGTACAGTAGTGACTGACTACTGTACTCGTTTGACTACAGTATAGGGCCCTACTCTAGTAGTATTACTCTAGTATCATTCTCCAAGTGTGTACGGAGTATAGTAGTACTGTATTCAAGGTACGACGGTCTCGACTAACGCAATTGGCATGCATTCTACTGTGGTTTATAACTATGAACTCCTCAACGTTAACGTTATGCATCACTAAGTCAGTGTATGTACAGTATCCACTCTGTTCTCTTTGAAAAATCCATACAATATATATTGGACGTGTGAACCCCAATGGACGGACGGGAGCTGTTTCTGCGTGATCGAATCTCTTGACCAGTGACGTGTTGCCAGCAGGGATCTTTTAGGATGGCAATATTGTTGAATTAAGTTAGTTGGATTTCGAAATAATTCGAACGGCGAGTAAGTGAAACGTCGTCGAATGGTTTATAAATACTTTCATAATACCAACCGTGTCAACTCCATTTTCGAACGATTGCAAGCATACCTACCTCTCAGTCACATTGACACCTCAACCACAGATACCAGCCCAGATCACAACTACCTACCACACCCGATACAACCTACACATGACAAAGTGCATTCTGGCCGAGAGCCTGCCGCAATACCGCGTGATCAAGGAGCTGTATCCACATTTTTACCATAAGCGAGGACACGCCAACGAGCCAGTGTCCTACGAGAAGCCAGGCCAGGTCAAACTGAGTGCACTCAAAGCCCAAGGCGTGACGATTGACCACTTGGCCAAGAGCTATGCGTTTATGACAGAGTTCCTGTGGCAAGTGGTCGAAGCATCCACCGACTGCCGGAGCATTTCCGTTATCGACGTCGCGGGAATTGGGTTGTTTTCGTTCGACAGCGAAGCTCTCGAGTATATGCGCAAGGTGGCCGCGTATTCCAGTACGTATAGCGACCACGACGCTGTACAGTACCTAGGTACACGTAATAACGAACTACATGTAGAGGAACGGTACCCGAACCGATGTGGATACATCTTCATCGTGAATGCGCCGTCGTGGTTTGACCTGATTTGGCGTGTGGTGCATACCCTCGTGGACCCGGCCGTTCGCAAGAAGATCACGATCGTGAAGGAATCGGGCGACATTCTCACAGCTTTGAGCTCTCGAATTCCAGTGGAGAACATTCCGGCAGAGTACGGTGGCCTTAGCGTCGGTCATTCTGACGAAGAGGTGGCGCTGCGGGCACTGGCGGACTTTAATAACAACGTGGAGGGCGCGATTCATCCGTTTGCCAGTGGAAAGTTTACGGCACACTGTGGGTGCGGGTGTCACAAGAACGAACAGACGACGGCTCAGGGGACGAACGACGACGGCTTCACACTGTCGTTGAATGGCCAAGATGGCCCTGACCTAGCCGATACCACACCCCACCCCGCGTCAGAGAAGACATAATGATCAAGACAGTAGACCTTTACACACTTATGTTTCAAGTGTCTTCCACAACATTGCCGTAGTAGTTTGTATTGTCCAATTCAAAAGTGTAAAACGTCATTTTTGGTCGTAACGTTATTCTCCTTTTACCCAATATTTGGACATTTGTGCTGATTTTCATTGCCAAATCTATCGATCGATTCATTGTAATTACTGACTTTTGCATGTAAAGATCGTGCAGTATCACACTAATTCCAATCACACACTAATTCAATGATGAATTGTTCGAAGTGTTGATTTGATTGGCTAGTTGATTCATGTTTTTTGTTTTGATTGGTCGATCGATCCGATTTGGTGCTGCTCATTCGATTGAGCACCCAAACACTCGAATTTCGAATCGAATGAACAATAGTAACTGGTATTAATAGTGATTTGCACTGTGGGGGTGTAATATATATATACTATTTACTACGTACTACTCTTTCCAATGTAGCTAGCGACTTACTACCTCTACGATTCCTTCACATACTGGTGTGGCCTGTCATGGCACGGTCACCACCGACAGCGCCGCCATCCCCGTCGACAAGGCGTCCCCCCGCGTGCATTTTCTGGCACGTTGCGCTTCTTCCAAGTCGGCCACCATTGGGCCAAACACAAACTGCGCTATGTCATCCCATGTGGCCAGTGTCTTGGCGTGGGGGAAGTGGTGGAACAGCGCGGCAACTGATTGGCTGGGATGGAGGAGCGTGAGCTGCATTAGTCGCCGACACAAACGGGTGGTGGTGGCTTGTGAGGCTGCCACGTATGCGGCCCAGTACGGCGTGTGCAGCAGCTCGCGACACAACGCCACGTCTCCATGCTACGAGACGGCATGAATATATATAAACAATGGTTTCAAACACGATTATATAGTACTGTACGTTACCAGCATGGAAAACAACACGGGAATCACATCCCATAACGGATCGCCCGTCTTGGTGTCGGCAAAATCAATCACCATACGCGGCGTCCACGTCACCCCACCGTCGTATTCGATGCGATCATTGTCATCGTCACCATTGTCACCATTGTCATCGTCACCATTGTCATCTTCCTTGGACACATCCGGCTGTAGCACAAACGATGTGGCCAGCGCATTCGCCACCTACACCCAAATCAACACAAAAATATCACAAACAACTCTTGATCTAGACAAACGTGTATATATATAATAATGACAGAATACCATGTATGCACTAGATAAACATATATATATATACAACAATGTTTTCGATCGTTTTACTTGAGCTTGTCTGAACACAACCCAGCGACTGGCGTCCGACGCGCCCGTGCAGTCGGCCCACGGCTCGACAGCTACGAGCTCCGCCACCGTGGTAATACCATGCGCTTGGCAGTACCCTTCCAGCGCCGCCCGATCCAACGGGGGTAGACACGCCAATGCTGTCATGAGTGGGCTCGTAGTTGATGGCGAAGAAGCTGTCATGTAGCCCAAGATATTTTCATCCGTGAGGTCTTGATGTAGCAGCACCACGGGCGTGTCGGAAGTGACTAGGCTGGACGCATGAAGGGGTAGGTACGAGTCCAGTTGACGGACAAGCCGCGCAGGCATGACGTTCTGCTGCGAATGCACTAATAATATCATATACATGTGAATACAATAAAGTCTATTTTTGTATTTTTTTTTAAATCAAGGCATGACATACCAGTGAAACATCCGTCTCGAAGCCGTTGCAAGTACTCGATATACCACTGCAAACTCGATATGTCCGTGCCAAGTACTCCCGGACGAGATGGCACCTATAGACATAATCCATCATATATATATATAATATACCGTGGTTATCCATAACTACATGAAAAAACAACATGACATCCCATCAGCTCGTACAATACATACATACACCATAGTCAACATACAAAAGCAAAAACGAGTACAAAATTATATATATATATATTTATATAATTTTGAACTCGTTTTTGCTTTTTGTTATAATATATATATATATATTATATGGAAATAAAGTACGTCGATCGCCATGCATGCGATGGTTCAATATCATTCTTTGGGAAATATATCAAGCGTAATACTATAGCCTCAGTCATCCACCCACGTCAAAAGTGAGTGACCAAACGTGGAGATATATATGCAACTAAGTACTGCCTGTCTGTACCTGTAGCCCGTGAAACATGGGAAACCAATCGCAGCCCATCCACTGCACGAGCGCCGACCAGCTCGCCCGCGTGAGTCCGCCGTGCGTCTTGACTGCTTGGCCTAGCGATGCCAGCTCTGGGTCGAACGTGGTGACAACATACGGCCACGTCCATTTGTCGTCTGTGGGCCGGGGATGCAAGTACCCTGACGCCACCATCTTTGGTGTTAAGGGCTTTGTTTTCGCAGCACTCAACAGCGAGTACACGAGTTGTTCCATATCAAACGCGGCTTCCAATAGACGACCCAACAATGTCGACGACGTGGTGGCTGTTGTCGTCTGGGTGGTTATGGTGGTGGTAGGTACCTCCTATTAAATATATCACAACACTCCCCAAGTCAAATCAAGGCATAGATCACTTGTGGTGTGTTGCTGCACGTTTCACAATGCTATTTTATAATTTTAGCCAATCAGATCGCAATATATCCTCACCCGACCATATATACGAGTTGTCCAACTATTTTATTTCCACCATGAGCACATCATACAAAAGTCAGCATCATGTACATCAAATATATCTTCTTTTTTTTAAATAGAATAATGCATAACGTAATTTGTTTCCAACATGAGCACATCATACAAAATCATATACATCAAATATATCTTATTTATATAAAATAGTATAACGCATTGAAACAATTATACCATCCACACGTCAATATATATATATATATATATACGTTCTTCTCCTTTTAGATTAAAAATATGACAACACCTTGGTTTAAAAATATATAAAAAAAACGATATATATATTCATGTTTTGACATACAATGATATACACACCACCAGTCATTCGTATGCTAGTTGTGTGTGTGTATATATATATGTGTATATGTCCTACCTCACGGCCGCTTTTTGGAAAGTCCACAGTGAGCACATGGGCTTCATGGCATTCGCCCCAGAGTCGATTCAGAGGACTAAACCACTTGATGACCAAGTGATCGTGGATGCTGAACGTCGGATTCACGCGCGACGTGAGCGGGTGGATGGGAGTCGTCCACGGGTGATGGGTCAGATGCGATTGGATGGCGGTCGTGAGGTTGTGATGTTTGTGAAAGATCGTGCGAATGCGGGGCTGCCACGTCATGACGTCTGAGAATGCATGCTCCACCATGGCAGATTCGTGCAGGTACCCTTCGTCCAGTGGCATGCAGTGAAGGGCGAGCAAATGCCCAACCAACGGGTGCTTGCTATTGACGATAGTATTAAATAAAATTAAAAATTGAATACATAGATTGTTGCAAGCGAGGACGTTTCGGAGTAGTGATATATATATATATATATAGAAGAGAAGAGAAGATGACAACGTACGGAGCAACGAGGGCGTGGAGCTGATGCACGCGATCGACAGACCCGTCGACGATCAGGTCTTGGACAAAGTCGGTCAAGTTGTGAGAGTCTACAAGTAGTACAAACGTAAACATAGACATCGTTTTGTATGTATAAATATTCGATTTCATCATGATTTTCAACAACAACAATATATATATACAATATATATATATATATATATATATATATATATATACAATAACAATATATATATATGTATATACAATAACAATAACAATATATATATATGTATATATGTATATACAATAACAATATATATATATATATATATATATAGTTCTAGTTATTGAAAATCGTTATGAAATCGAATATATATATTATATGTTTTAATAACAATAAATATATATATTGTTATTGAAAATCATGATGTATATATATATATATATATACTACCGGTAGTATATGTGTATCTTACCGACAACGTTTTGGGTCACGGCGATACTGAATTCCAGGTTGAGCACCACATGCCACCACCCGCTGGGTACGGAAATGACGTCGCCAGCTTCTTGGACAATCTACAAAAGACCACAATCATGTATTGTGTGTATAATAATATAGATGGAAATATCGTTAATATATACGGAAATAGGATCGTTTTATGTGTGTTTAAATACACTGGTTAAAAAATGAAATGATACAATTGAACCATGCACGCACCTCCAGCGGCCGGTCGTCGTCCGACAGCGTAGGGTACACGTGCAAGAACCAGTCGAGTGACGACGTGCCCGGAGATGCTGTGTCTTCATCCTACGTCCAGTTTGTTAGTTGATGATGATAGGTGCTTGGAAATAATACTATCAGGTATAACGATATTATTGTTGTGAGTATTATTCTAAACTGGAGCGCGCATGGAGAATGAATGAATCGACACAACCAAATTAAATGTACACAAGAATCATCGGCAGAGGGATATATATGTAAAGATTAATTATAAAAATAATTTCTAATAATTTTAATTTTAAAAAAAAATTAGATGGAAAATAGAACAAAAATGGTTCAATTTTGATAAAATTTTTAGCCAATCAGATTGCAGGAAACACCATCAACAACGTCAAATTAGTGTGATATGAATCACCACTGGACACCTTTTTACATACAAAATTCAGTACAAGGAATCGATCGATTGATATGCACACACATATATCGAGCATGGATACACACATGACAAGCACAAAGAATAATATAGCCCCAACTCGATTGTCCATTGATCCATGCTTGCAGAAAAACGCTGGCTCCCACGTGTATAATAATATAGGTATTTTATATATAATAAAATACGGCATGCATTCAAAAAGTAGTACAAATTTTTATATATTTGTCAAATATATAAAAATTTGTGTGTGATACTGTATTCGATTCGTCGGGGGCATGTTTTTTGTGTGTATTGACGAATGTGTTATAAAGTATAAAGCGAAGTAAAAGCTTCATTCCACAATAATCAGATTTTTAAAGTTAGATTCATTTAATAATTTTGATTTTTCTAATATTTCTCAGTTGTCGTACCAGAAGCGTGACACCCGGGGGGCACCGACCTGGGGGGTACATCGCCCACCGTTTGCGGCCCACGAGCAGCGCATTCCATGCCGATGTCTTGGCAGGATCAACATGCCATGACGCGCCAGATCTAGAAACAAACATGCACACAAATTAGCATATAAAGAGGCTGGCTGGTGCTGATTGCGAAAGTGGAAGAAGTATACACCACACAAGTGTCAGACCAGGACCTCCACGTTTTAATTGTATCATAGACACAAATACTAGGCAAGTACACTACTAACGACTAACTACCACCGCCATACACAACGACAACACCCAAACTCACACTATTACTACTACTACTACTACTACTACTACTACTATTACTACTACTACAATTATTACTACTACAATTACTATTTCTACTACTACTACTACTACTACAATTACTATTACTATTGACAACTCACCAGACCCGTCACACCCAGTACATGATAAACTTCAGTCTCATCCCTGTCATTCCCAGCTCCACAAGATTCGTACCGGGCGGGACCGACCACAAGCCAGCGAAAGTCTGGGCGCACTTCTGGCGGCAACACCGCGAGCAAATCTTCGTTGAACACGGAGGGAATCGCATAGTCGTCCAAGAGTGGCGGCATGGTCGTGCCGAAATGCTGGTCGAACACGTACAAGGGTGTCTCGTCGTGTTGCGCGGCGGCGTACGCGGCAAAGTCGGCGAGTGGCATCCGGATCGGGGGCTGGACGTCCAGGTTGTGCGTCACTCGGCACACGACGTCGCCAAAGCGAGCGACCAACGACTCGATCGTCCATTGCTGGGGCGAGCCTACATACATGTGCGTTAGAGGTCGGCGGCGTTTCCATAGACACTTTTCATCGGACTCGTTCATGTGTGTACGTACCTGGTGTAAACGAAGGCCACGACGAGATCGCGTCGGTCAAGATGACAGGACGCCGGGCGTACTGGCCAAAGAACAACGTGGGGGTCAGAGTAGTCATGGACACGCGTGGAATGCGCGTGTCCACACTGGGGGGAGTGAACGAGGAGATGTCCATGTGGCAGCGGCAGTAGCGGCGGTACAAAAAGTCGGACGTGAATGCGTTCGTGGGCAGCGCGATGGACGGACGCGCAGGGGGACGAGACATCGCCGCGGATGGCCGTGGACAAAAGTATAGGTGCTTCCACGACGGCAAGTGATACGTAAAGTTCCCGTGATGCTTTCGCAGCACTTGAATCATCCACAATGGCTACAACAACATGACGTCGTCATCACGGCAGAGACACACACATCAGGAGCGTGATGTAGAGCTAAGTTACCTCTTCGTTGCAAAAGATGTACCACGCTGCAGAGGACACTGTGTTAGACTCAAGCACCAGGCGATCAACAACACATGCACGTACGTACTGGGAGACACGAGTGAGAGCGACAGCAAGTCTTCGGCATCCAGAAGGAGCGTCAGGTACGCCTTGAGGTGATCCGTGAGGTGGGTGGAGAGCAGCATGCTTTTACGTATCAACAAGTCGCACGAGTGTCGGCGGCGGTGTCAAAGGCGTGATCCTGCCAAATTTTTAGCGACGCATTTTTGTACCCTTCTTCAGGGATTGACGGCCTTCGACACCCAAAAGCCCTAAATAAGTTTGGAAGCGTTGGATTGGCTATAATTCATTTAAATAGGTACAACAACCACGGATTGGATCAAAGCAGGTACCCCAACCCGTATCACAGTGCACATGGCGTGTTATTAATAGTACTACGCAGTACTGTAACTGTTAACCCTAGTGAAACTAAACAGCTCTGTAGAAGTACTACTACAGTAGTATTAATAGTGTGTTTAACTAACTGCTTAGTATTACTACGTAGTACTATTAATATCAGTAAGGTAATCAATCATTCATTAACCAGAAAAAGCAAGGTGTAATAATTTTGTATGCAGCGCAAGGTGGACCACCTTGCGAATTCCATTAATTTTTCTTAAATTGTATAGGTTCAATTAAATATATCTTCAAGTTTGTATTGTTAATTTTTATTTTTCATGTGCCTGTCTGTTTTTGGAATTCGCAAGGCAGGCCACCTTCGATTTCAAAATTGTCCAATTTGTCCAATCAGATGCCGTGAAATCACGAAACTCGCTGCGTAGATTCATCACATCCTGTTGCGGTATATTCTACTGTACTCCTGTGATGGCGGTTGATGCAAGGAGCATTGAGATACAGTAATTATGTAGGCAATGCATGAGAGCAAGATCATGCGATGTGGTATTCTGGACTCGGTCAATTCGAACAGGTCTGGACTTCACAGTCAGTAACATCACCACTTGCCTACTAACCCAATGAATGTGGTCACCCCTCATTCTTCCACCATCCAGTCCGTATCGGTGCCGTACACTTCCCTGCTGATGTGATCACGTGGTTGCGCGGGCGGGTGGAGCAAAACGTCTTGGTAGAACCCATCGCAAGTGCTAAAGCCCACCAGAGCAGCTACGGCATTGCGACCCAACCGAGCGCACAACATAATGTTAGCTGTAAGGGGAGAACTACATTGGAAATAGTCGGAGTGAACTCATCAGTCCACAATTCTAGGGAGCACAAAGCTCTACAAAATTCAAGCGTCCAAACAGTTCAAAATTGTAACCTCTTCTTCCAGTGTTATAGCCAATCGTGTGTAAGGAACAAGGTGTGATGGACTCTGATTGGATATTAAAAAGAAGCAAGGTGGCTGCTCACCTTGCGAATGCCATTAACAAGTCATTGCTGTCACGACACTCCTCAACTCTTACTTACAGTTAATATTAACCCGCTAGGATGGACGAGATTTACAGTTAATACTACGTAATAGTATGCTTTTTGGCAATAGTATGTCCATATTTTGTGTTGGCATGGTAGTATGGTTGGATATAATAATATTCGACGTAAAATTTGTATGTAGTAGTGGCCATAGCAAGGGGGACCTTCGAGGCATACTAACCATTCACGTTAATGAACATCTAAAAAACGACTACATGGGGTACATCCGTCCAAAGTAAGTGGGCCTACGCGACTGTAGTCATCTTCATGTTGGGACATTGGGTCAAGCCTTTGGCAGTCGCCCGTCTTGCCTTGGCCTCGCCCATGAGCGATTGCATGAGTTTCCCCTTGGCTAGTCTGTCTCGTTGCAAATGCAGCGCATCCATCACGTCCGATAGTTGCGTCTTTGCTTGTTCGCAGCCAAAGTATCGCCGCGGGTCCTTCCACGTGCGTTCGAGCATCTTGACCGTGAGCCCGTCGGACCCGGTGTTGCCTCCGCCAAGGACCATGATGGCCATGTATTGATGCCCAAAGTAGAATCGTCGGACGGCGTTTTCCAAGGTTTGGACGGCTTGGATGACCCCCATGACAGAGCTCGGGGCCAGGTCATGGTTGGCATACACCTGCTGCAAGTTGTGCACCAACTCGTCGTTGGTTTCCGGCGCGTCGGAGCAACGCACGTGGGCCAGCAAGTGGAGCAAATCCGTCCACTCGGTCGGGTTAAACGCGGTCGCAGGGTACACGGGGGTGACGTACGCTTGAAACGCAGCTGGAATGAGCGGAAGCAAATGGAAGATCCGGCGCCGCAGTTGGCGCATGCGAACACTCTGGCCCCCACTGGCCCCATGCAGCTGCAGGCGGAAGCTATGGTAGTCGGCCATGTCCATCTCCGTGAGCATTGTCACATGGTCGATCATGTACTCCCACACGTGGCCACAGAACCGATAGCGTCGGGCGATCCGTCGGAGAACCCGCGGGGTGTCCCCGGCATGAAACGTCGTCGAGAGCGAGTCAATGTCGTCTTGCGCGGCATCTAATTGACGCTCCATCACACAGCACCACGCTTCGCAGATTTGATGCACCATCGCGAAAAAGTGATCTTCGTCGAACGCGGCTTCGTTTTCGGTGGCGTATTGGCGAAGAAACGCGGGGGCGACCGCCACGTCATAGGGAAGGTGGTGTGATTTCGACGAACAACCAAACACCCCCAGTCCAAACGGCAAGTCGGCAAATTGACTTTGCACTTGGGCTTGCAGGCGTTGCATAAAAGAGTGGGGAGTTGTCAACGCGGATGGATGGGTGTGGCTCCACCACCATGCCTTCGGTTGCCCTAAGGATTCTTGGCTAGATGTTGTGGTCAAAAGGTACTGGTCGACAACGTTGTTGGGGTTATCGTCAGTGTCAATGTCGATGATCGTTCGCAGCATGTGCAATTGGGAGCCAATGTTGCGAAGCAACGAGTCCAGACGCGTTTGGTGTTGGACATATGATCGATGGGATCGAGAAGGGGGCGCCGATGCATTGTCAATTGAGGCCAAGTTCACTTCGTAAAAGTCGAGGGCCAGCCGCATGCTCATTTCAAATGAGCTCATGGCTGGCACCAGCCGGTAGAGGGCAGCGGGAGGGCCTTCAGGGCTAGCAGACGCGACTGGGGTGAGCACATGTGGCAATGGGTCAAAGGGCATGGGGGTGGCCGACCGCAATGCCCACAGCCCCCACGTTTTTTCGAGCTCGGGAAGGCGGATGTACGACGCGTATGCGTTGCGATGGAGGGAGCCCAAGTACGCTGAATAGTCCCCCAAGGTGGCGGACGTTGTGAGCTTGGATGGGTCTTTCGTGGAAGAGCTGGAGCCAGCGGCGTAGGCACAGGGGATGCTTTCGTCCACGATGGGGGACGGCGTCTTGGCAGTTGCCGCATGCGGGCACTTGGCTGTTTCGACGATCGGCAGATGGGCCATGGTAGTTGTGCGGGTTGTGCGGCAAATTGCAAAATGAAACAGTGACTGTGAGGAAATCGAGTTTAGACGACTATTTTAGTTCGATCTCACATGTTTAGCTGGTACCCTACCCTCGGTAAATATTGTCATAATGCAGTTAAATATTGTCAATTCTCAAGAAACCCACTCATCGAACTGCAGCTGTACGACCGGTTATTCTTAGCCTTCTCGGTAGTTGGGTCGTCAATCGACCAACAAGTTGCCAGAGTTGACAATGAGCTAAACATATGCCACTAATGAACGAATGTGATACACGAATATGGATGACTATGGGAATTACCCCGCCAGGGTATGGGAATTTTTTTTTAGCAATTTTCCGGAGTAAAAACAAGTATTGCAGAGCATGGCCAATACAATTACATTAGCTGTGTACCTCGAAGTACATATTGTATTGCCGTCTGCATTTAAGTGTAAATATTTAATTGTCTAATTGTCAACTATTTAAATGAACAATTATATCTCAATACAAATGATAAGATAAAATATTGTTGGGTCGTTGGCTCAAGTAAAATTATTTTTGGATCTTTTCGCACAATCAATTATTGTAATAAATTATTTTCTGTATTTAATTGCCAATTAGTTTTCCCATAACGTTCACCGCCACATTTCACCGAGATTTGGCTTGCCCGAGGCAAGTGGCAAGAACTAACGTTACATTATGCACATCCTCTTGGTTCTTTCATACCAACCAACCATTCAGATTGTTTTGGGCATGTAAAATATGATTACTAGTAGCTAGTATCTACACCCAAATGGTACGCTTGAAAAATTTATACTATTGAACGTCGTAGTGGTAAATATTGTCAAAATGCTGGTAAATATTGTCATTACAGGAAATTGAGTCACGGAAAGCCTCAGAATTCACATATGAAGAACCTTGAAGATGTACTGTACAGTATAGCTGGTCTCCTCTACTTCGAAGTAGTTGGATTTTGTGGATTGATGAAGTGGTACCATCCAATGGTAAAGTGTAGCTATCACATAGTTAACCGACAAGCGTGCATAACTACCGGTAGTTGCATTGACGGCCACAACAATGAGCCAATTGATGATCACTTTGATCTAAACAAGGCACATCGGACTGACGAATCTGTGGGCGATTCGCGTCCACAGTTTGGTCACGGATAGGGCGATGTAACTAACTATCTTGCCCTGTTATGACAATATTTACCGCGATTTTGACAATATTTACCCCCTAACTTCAACCATCCGGATACCTACCACAGGTTCTGGTAAACAAGGGTCGCAGTTTCAGTTTGGCACCATGTCAACCACTGCTTTTTCCACGGAATGCCCTTCCAGCCAGTCGCCATTCTTCTCCCAGCAATCCACCTCCTCGATCCAACATGATGGCGACGGATCCCCATATCGCGCCGCATTTACGCGATCGCTGGCCCTTCAACCACGCGACACGTTGCACTTCTCCACGTACGGCATGGGACTTGCGCCCGATGTGTCGTTTGAAAGTGTGCAATCCACGCATGCGTTTCTCACGGCCAACATGAATGAAATATGGCCACTGTTTTTCGAGCACGACCTCCCCGCCGCCGAACGCAACGTATTGGCGTCGCTCGGGCTGACTGGCGACGACTACTCACAGGACCAACCCACGTTCCACGTGAACTTTGGTGCCAACGTACATGAATTCTTGGTGCGGCTGTTCAGCTGCCACCGTCAGAACGACACACCGTTGACGGTCGTGACAAGCGACGCCGAGTTTGTATCGTTGACTCGGCAACTGGCTTCGTGGTCGCACGTTGTAGACGTGACCACAGTGCCGTTGCAACCTCACGCTTCGTTTGGGTCTCGTCTGCGACAACGTGTCGCTGTGTTGTCCCCGACGCTGGTCCACGTCAGCGCCGTCTACTCCAACTCGCAGTACCGGTTTCCCGATTCGGAACTCACTGCGCTCGTGGATGAGCTACCGCCAGGTTCCATGTGCATTGTAGACGTCGCGCAAGCTTTTGAAAACGTAGTATTGCAACTCCCTCGCTCCAAGTCGTTGGTGGTCGTTGGCAGTGGGGTCAAGCACGCCACGGCGGGTCCTGGCATGGGCTTCGTGGCGTTCCCAGTCAACGTGTGGACCCCTGCCAACACGGGCTGGATTGCGCACTTGGGGTCGATGACTCGCGCCCCGTCGTCCACGGTCGAGTACACCCCCGAGCTGGCGTTTGCAGGGGGGACCCCGGGGTACCACTACGCCGTGCGGCAATTCAATGACGTCCAAGCGTTTTATTCGGCAAAGCAATGGACCCTGGCAACGCGGCACGCATATGTGTTGACGTTGCAGGCCCAGTTTATCCAGTGGTTAACACATGCCAAAGTGCTGGAGCCCCAGAACGAACACGAGGGGGTTCACGAGAGCGACGTGTACAACCGATCCAAGGCCATTGTTCTGACGCATTCACAAGCAGACAAGGTGCACCACCACCTTGTCACACCAACGAGTAGTCGCCCCACGGTGTTTCACTGTGATGTGCGGCTTGGCGACCGCCTGCGACTCGGGTTTGGGCTGCACCATGTACCGTCTGAAGTGCGAGCGTTGGCAGACGCAGTGATTGATGGTTGGCACGAATTGCACACTACCGAGCGCATACGTTTATATCTTTAGCGTCGGCCAGGATATATGTACTGCCGTTACTTGAATAGTATGATGGCGTGGGCATCATTCTGTTAGTGATCGAGTTCGAGCGGGATGTTTCGACCTGGCATAACGAATACGGTGTAATGTACACCATGGTTGCGCGAGTAACGTTGGAAAGTAAAGCGAAGTGGCGAAATCAAGCAAAGGTCCGCTCCCCGAGAAGGGAGGAAAACGCACTCCTAGTCAGTTTTCTACTAAAAGACCAAAGCCGTTCCTGGCTGTTCCCATTGAATATAAATGAACACGATACTCTGTGCTCATAAGCGCTGAAATCACCTTAAGGCCCCCCCCATTTGCCAACCACCACGTCCCATGCGATCTCACACAACAATAACACCAAATCACGGCGTCCAACTGTCCAAGGAGATCGGAGAGGGGTAAAGTGCTCATTCTCAAAGTCACTTGGATCTGTGACAAAGGCATGATTCAAGTCGCCAAGGGGCTCTGCGTCAACAAATCAACGAAGACAGGGCGGACACGACTCTAAAACTAAGTATGACACCCTACTGCCGGTAGTAAGTTATCGATTATTCTTGATGAGAAAAGCGGGTAGAAGCAACGACCAATTCCCATTACTTGGTGTTTGTATTGAGTACTGTAAACGATGTCTCAGGTAATACTGGTTGTTTTAATAATACTTGGTGTTGGTATCGAGAGGTTTGTCTATTTTTAGACGTTGGCCGACATTCATGACGGATGCGACTCCTCGTGATGGCCTGCAAAGCGTTTTGCGCGTTTGTCGAGACATGGTACGAGCGAGTCTACCGTGTTGTTAACTGAATGAATGTGTAGGAACGAGCGGATGGAAGGACCTAACGACCCTTGATCATCGCCGAGCTCTCGTCGGCTCGCTTCACGTCTTCTAATTAAATATGAGCCAGTCGCGTCTGTGGTCCGACCTCAGTTGTGACCCCAGCTAGCACACCGGCTACCTTCAACGCCGACTCATCATCGGAGGGGAACGAGATTCCGTCGGCAGCTCAGCGGTAGTGCCCAACGTGATGCACTCAGACAATGAGGTTCCCGTCGTCCCCGTTCAATTCGCCCCCAAGCTGGTGGCTATCGAAGTCTTGCCGTGCGATGTCAACAACGCGGCGATAGTGATGGCCCAGTGACGGTCCCTTGTTCATTTGTCCAGTACGTGGAAAATGACATTTCGTCATGAGCCTGAACCTGCGTCGGATCGTTGTAACGGTGGTCGACGGCGAGAAAGCCATGCCAGCAGTCACCGCGTCGGCGGTCGTAGAAATTCCATCGTGGGACGTTGAAGTGGGGGCCACGAGTGCGGAGTCCCCGTGGTGAATACTTCGTACGCTGGCCACGCCCACGAACAAAGCGGGGTGGACGCTGAAGTCGGTTGTACCGTACTTGGTCTAGGGGGAGCTGTTTGCTCGGTACATGGGCCGGTGCAGTCTATATGCACTTGAGCGACGGCGTCCATCGTCGACATCCCAAGTCCAGAAGTGGCAGCCGCCTAGCTCCACTTTCGTCACCACTTTGAGCCGTCAAAGAGCTAAGTTTGGTAGTACGTACATGAATATTTAAAACATACTATGTAATAGTAGTAGTCAGATATAAGGCTTGCATGGAACTTTGACACATCCTTGCTCATACTCACTTGACGTGCGAAAATGCTGACATTGGTATCATTATACTCACAAAACCGCCCGTGTGGAAGTCGTATGGTGGGTTCCGGGAAGTTCCCACAAAAAATCCATCTGCCGGGCTGTGTGCCCCCAACGGCCCTGCCGTACCAAGCACCTACTAAGTGGTGTGTTCGATGCTGTGATTAATACATTCATTTCTTTCTTGGAGAACTGGCAGCTTTGAGTGATGCTAGCTACTACATAAACTGAAATCGTGCTGACAACCACGATCGCTGTGTCTGTCACCACACCGGCTGCGAACACCATGCCGATTACTACCCGTGTGCTCAACCACTGCTCTTTGCACAAGTTCTACCGTTCCAATCCGTACAACATGTGTACGTCGCTAAATGGATCCCAATTACCTGTGTCCCTCGTCCTGTTAGTGGTTCATAACTGAAAGTAGAGCAAACGATGCAAACAGTAGAAAGTGCAGCCAACATTATTTTTGTGAAGGTAAAATGTGGTTAGGATTTGACCAGCTCTTGTCGCCATTATATGAATTTGTGAAATGTGCGGCTGCGATGGACCGGACTTTTGCTACCTGGATCAAGCTGACGTCTGTTGTGAGGCTGCAACGTGGTCATCCTGAGCGTGGCAGGAACTGCTGGTGTGATTGCAGATGTATTGGTGGTGGCGCGGGGATCTGTCGTAGTGTTCTGGGTAGAGACGTGGTAGGCCCAGGTGTGTTGTTCCACGTCGGCAGCTGCTGCGACTGCCATGGATGCACCTAGCACCACGACCAAGTCACCTTCGACGTCGCCGGTAACCCCTTGTACCATCACGGTTATGCCTGAAGTTTTGATGCCAGCTCCAACTACGTCCAGATTTTGGCGCAAGACTACTACTCGATCGCCAAAAGTCCCCCTCGCTAAGTCACCTCATCCACCAAATTCCCCCGATGAACATCGTCTACAAATATTGACATAACGTTCATCACGATGTGCATCGCGCCACATCAAAGAATTGGGATCAGAATCACTTCAAGTACGGAAAAGATGCAAGAAATAGGGTCATTCAAAATATTGATGCTTTGAAGTAAATAGGTCAAAAATAATACATAAACATGCGATGGGGTGTTTACACGCAAGGAACTCCGGGTTCAGAAACCGAGGACAACTGAAAAGCCAACTGTTGAGGTTTTTCATGTATTAGTAATGGGTTGAGTACTCTGCATTCGCTACTTTCATTACACACTGTTTCCAGCATGTGTTAAAGCGTCGCTCCCATGCAGGTGGACGTGGGTCGCTCGAAAATGATCTAAGGCCGCGCTCGAAAATACTCCATTGTTTGCTCGAAAGCAATGCGCACCCAACAACCTTGATCGAGCCAATTGATGCCACGATTCTGCTGGTGTGCAGCGTAAGCGCCAACTAGAATATCATAAGGGGGTGATAGTGACGCAACTTGATGAATTTGATAAAGATTGTAGTACAACACACATTGCCTTGAAGAACAAACTGATAAGTAGAGGGTTTAGCCTGCCGTGCGGTGGAGACACTAGGTAAAGAAGGCTGTATCATATGGTCTCTAAATATAAGAAATAGAATTACAGCGGAAGATGATTTGATTGACACAATTTGATGAATGGGACGATTGCTTTTCATCATTCTCAAATTGCCTCGGCAATAGACAACCAAACCTACCATGGTTACAATTCGATCCATCATCTCGACCGCCGCACTGAATAGCCTCTTGCTTTTCACCAGTCCAGCTGAAAGCGCAAGCGCCCCAAGCACGTACACGACCAAGGCTCCTGTCATCACTACGAAGGCTCCTGTCATCACTACGAAGGCTCCTGTCATCACTACGAAGGCTCCTGTCATCACCACGAAGGCTCCTAGCACCACTACCACGACGGCAGCTCCTGTAACTACCACGGTTGCACCCATCATCACCACGTCAGCACCTAGCACCACGACCAGTACGCCTACCAGCTTGACGGCCGAAGCCGACTCTCCCCCGTCTCGCTGCTGTTTTAACGACGGTGACCTTATCAGTCTCCGAGCCGACACCAACTTGTTCATGGGGCGCTGCTACGGGTGCGTGCCGGGAGGGGCGTATCAGGACTCGGCTTTCGTGCACGTGCCTGATCCGAAGGACGCTCCGTGGGCCCAATGGAAGGTTTTCAATACGTTGGACGGAAAGCTCGTGCTCCAGGCGGACACTGGCAAGTTTTTGAGCAGGTGCAACAACTGTGCACCCGGTGCAGCATACCCTGACGAAGCCTTCGTTCATGTGCAAGACTGGCACACGTCGCCGTGGGCCCAGTGGGTGTGTGTGGATGCTGGTAACGGCAAAATTGCACTGCAAGCCGACAGCGGACGCTACTTGGCCAGGTGCGAGGGCTGCATTCCTCGAGCCTACCCAAACACGGCCTTTGTGCACGCCACTTCCGTCTCGGAGCCATATGCCCAATGGGCAGTCGTGTCCAAAAATCCATCTGCCGGGCTGTGTGCCCCCAACGGCCCTGCCGTACCAAGCACCTACTAAGTGGTGTGTTCGATGCTGTGATTAATACATTCATTTCTTTCTTGGAGAACTGGCAGCTTTGAGTGATGCTAGCTACTACATAAACTGAAATCGTGCTGACAACCACGATCGCTGTGTCTGTCACCACACCGGCTGCGAACACCATGCCGATTACTACCCGTGTGCTCAACCACTGCTCTTTGCACAAGTTCTACCGTTCCAATCCGTACAACATGTGTACGTCGCTAAATGGATCCCAATTACCTGTGTCCCTCGTCCTGTTAGTGGTTCATAACTGAAAGTAGAGCAAACGATGCAAACAGTAGAAAGTGCAGCCAACATTATTTTTGTGAAGGTAAAATGTGGTTAGGATTTGACCAGCTCTTGTCGCCATTATATGAATTTGTGAAATGTGCGGCTGCGATGGACCGGACTTTTGCTACCTGGATCAAGCTGACGTCTGTTGTGAGGCTGCAACGTGGTCATCCTGAGCGTGGCAGGAACTGCTGGTGTGATTGCAGATGTATTGGTGGTGGCGCGGGGATCTGTCGTAGTGTTCTGGGTAGAGACGTGGTAGGCCCAGGTGTGTTGTTCCACGTCGGCAGCTGCTGCGACTGCCATGGATGCACCTAGCACCACGACCAAGTCACCTTCGACGTCGCCGGTAACCCCTTGTACCATCACGGTTATGCCTGAAGTTTTGATGCCAGCTCCAACTACGTCCAGATTTTGGCGCAAGACTACTACTCGATCGCCAAAAGTCCCCCTCGCTAAGTCACCTCATCCACCAAATTCCCCCGATGAACATCGTCTACAAATATTGACATAACGTTCATCACGATGTGCATCGCGCCACATCAAAGAATTGGGATCAGAATCACTTCAAGTACGGAAAAGATGCAAGAAATAGGGTCATTCAAAATATTGATGCTTTGAAGTAAATAGGTCAAAAATAATACATAAACATGCGATGGGGTGTTTACACGCAAGGAACTCCGGGTTCAGAAACCAAGGACAACTGAAAAGCCAACTGTTGAGGTTTTTCATGTATTAGTAATGGGTTGAGTACTCTGCATTCGCTACTTTCATTACACACTGTTTCCAGCATGTGTTAAAGCGTCGCTCCCATGCAGGTGGACGTGGGTCGCTCGAAAATGATCTAAGGCCGCGCTCGAAAATACTCCATTGTTTGCTCGAAAGCAATGCGCACCCAACAACCTTGATCGAGCCAATTGATGCCACGATTCTGCTGGTGTGCAGCGTAAGCGCCAACTAGAATATCATAAGGGGGTGATAGTGACGCAACTTGATGAATTTGATAAAGATTGTAGTACAACACACATTGCCTTGAAGAACAAACTGATAAGTAGAGGGTTTAGCCTGCCGTGCGGTGGAGACACTAGGTAAAGAAGGCTGTATCATATGGTCTCTAAATATAAGAAATAGAATTACAGCGGAAGATGATTTGATTGACACAATTTGATGAATGGGACGATTGCTTTTCATCATTCTCAAATTGCCTCGGCAATAGACAG